GTTCGTCCTTCCTATCACAAGCCGTATCCAGATTACATAGATCAGGATAATCTATTTCCTTGTGGATTCAAAGTGTCTGAATTTACTTTGTTTTTTGGGGACGCAAGCCAGTCAACCATTGAACACATTGGTAGGTTCACTATTCAATGTGGGGAGGCATCGGGTGATGATTTTTTGAAGTTGAGACTCTTCCCAAGTTCTTTAACTGGTATCGCACTGACATGGTATCTAAGTCTGCCACAAAATTCTGTGTTCACCTGGAGACAAATGGAAGATTTGTTTCATATTCAATTCTACCACTCAGAGCCTAAGATATCCATGGCTGATCTTTCTAGATTAACTCAACGGCCAGGGGAATCTTCTGAAAATTATCTTATGCGGTTTAGAAAAGCCGGGATGAAGTGTCATGTTGCCTTACCAGAGCAAGAGTTTATGAAGCTTGCTCAGAATGGTTTAGACATTGAGATGGAATTCAGAGACTTCTTTGAGCTCTCTTATAAGGTGGCACGTTATGAGAACCTTTTAAGAGAGGAATCCCAAAGAAAGGCAGCGTTGCAAGGAACTTATTATCAGGATGCTTTTGACCTTGATGTTGCCGAGGTCTTTGCAGACAAGCCAATAACTTGTCCTAATCTAGTGAAAGTCACTCAACAAGTTGAGGCGACTGCAAAGCGTCTCCTGTATGAATTTGGGAGACAATACACATTTGATGTGACTAAAGCAAATGAAATCTTTGATTATCTAAAAAAGTCAGGACATATTAAGCTGCCGCAGGGGCATAGACTCCCGACGGTTGCTGAAATTGCATCCAAAGATTACTGTAAGTTTCATAACTCCTCGAAACACTCTATTAATGACTGTCTTATTTTTTGAAATGTGTTGCAGGACAAGATTGACAAAGGGTTGCTTCATTTCCCTGAAAAACCTAAGGAAGCCATGGGGGTTGATGAGAATCCTTTTCCGAACGTTGATGTTGGAGTTAATGTTGCTAACATAAGGAGCATCTCTCGAAGGACATATAAAGGGCGAACTTGGCTGCAGATGACCTTCGTTGGGTGATTGAGAAGGAAAGGGAACGTCGTGCCCAACAGAATCAGAGGCTCAAGGGCAACAGCATGTTGGCAGAATCTATGCATCTAGATCCAAGATGAAGGAGGCTCGACATACAGATCGCTCTCGTATGGTTAAGCCTCCACAGCAACCTCCAAGTAAAAGGTGGGAGAAGGTCATGCATCCCAAGTTTCCAAAAGAACCTGTGAGAAATCTTAGAACTTTAAGAATAAGGTTGCAGCGAAAGCGAGCAGAGGCACGTCGTCGTCAACAATTAGCTATTGAGGAAGTTAAGATTCCACAACGTTCTCTCGCAAAGGGAAGGATGGTGTGGAAGAGAAAAGAGAGTCAAGAGGTTGCTGTCCAGAATGAATCTCAGCCGAAGGTGCCACCTCCTAAGCTCACCTCATTAATCGTTAATGAAAATGAGTTGAAGGCAACCTTTGAAGCAGATCAACAAGCAGAGTTGACTAGCGATGATAATTTTCTTGAGGCCATGGATGTTCTGCAGATTGGCAACATCTCTATTAATCTCTCTTGTTTGGTTCTCATGCTTCCTTTGGTTTTTCAAGCCAAGGGTAGCGAGACTACCCATGTTTCCAATGGCAGCATGCTTGTTGAGGAAGAAGTGATAGAGGTTCCAGCCCAAGAAGAGGAAAAGGAGCACGATATCCTTTCAGAACAAATTATCTTTAACAAACCAGATGAAAGTGTGGCTCGTCATATAAAGCCACTCTACATTTCAGCTCACATGGATGGAGTTCCAATGAATCGAGTCCTTGTTGACAATGGAGCAGCAGTCAACGTCATACCTTCTTCTATGCTGAGGAATTTGGGTAAAAATTCTAAGGACTTAGTTTATACTGACGTAACCACCAGTGATTTCACAGGTGGTGTTAGCAAATCAAAATGAGTGTTGCCGGTTGCACTTACTGTCAGCAGTAAGACGTCAATGAGTGCTTTCTTTGTTGTAGACTCTTCTGCAACTTATAATGCATTACTGGGACGTGATTGGATCCATTCGAATTGGTGTGTTCCATCTACTCTTCATCAAAGACTCATTTTTTGGAATGGAGGCAAGACTGAGGTGGTTTATGCTGACAACAAACCATTCTTAGCCAATTCCAGTATTGTGGAAGCACGATACTATGATGAAGACATAGAAACCATTCGTTTCTTCAGTATGGATAGACAAGGAAGACCTCGTGGAATCACTGCTTGCAACAAGCCTACCTTGGCTAAGTATGTGGTTGACGAGATATGCAATGAACTCTTGCGACCTATTGCCATTATTCCATATTGGTCGCAAGAGGAGCCCAAAATTGAGGAGTTATTATGAAGACATCTAGGATAAGCAAAGAGAGAAGGGAGGCCGTATCTGAAATTCTAAAGAAATTAGCGGCCTATTTTGCTGAAAGAAATACAGAAGCAAATCTGTCGGAGGTGGTACATGAAGGTGAGGAGGACACCCATACCGACGGAGTCACAATGGAGGAGTTAGATCTGGCTCCTGAAAAGTTGGATCACCTCAGGGCCGATGTACAAGATCCATTGAAGGAAGTTAATCTAGGAACGGAGGCAGAGCCACGCATTACTTTTGTTAGTGGCTTGCTACCGCTAGGGATGCGAGATAAAATAATTTGTTTACTACATGAATTCAAAGACTGCTTTGCCTGGGATTATTCTGGGATGCCAGGTTTAGACCGAGAGTTGGTAGAACATAGACTACCAATCAACAAAGGATATAAGCCGTATAAACAGCCACCACGCCGTATGTCTCCAAAAGTAATTTTGAAGGTGAAGGAAGAAGTGGAGCGGCTGCATAAAGTTGGTTTTATACGGACAGCCAGATACTCAGAATGGTTGTCTAATATTGTTCCAATAGTGAAGAAGAATGGAAAGCTCAGAGTCTGCATTGATTTTTGGAACTTAAATCTAGCCACACCGAAGAATGAATACCCCATGCCAGTAGCAGATTTACTTGTTGATGGGGTTGCACGCCATCGCATTTTATCTTTTATGAATGGGCATAGTGGCTATAATCATATCTTTATTGTAGAGGAAGATATAAGTAAAATGGCGTTTCGTTGCCCTGGAAACATAGGTACGTATGAATGGGTCGTGATGCTGTTTGGGTTGAAAAATGCAGGAACTACATATCAGCGGGCCATGAATGCAATTTTCCATGATATGATTGGTTGCTTCATGGAGATTTATATCGATGATGTTGTTGTTAAATCCATGGAGGATGAAGAACATTTGGAGCACTTGAGGAAAGCTTTTGAAAGAATGCGACAGCATGGTTTGAAGATGAATCCTCTCAAGTGTGCTTTTGGTGTTACAGCAGGGAATTTTTTGGGTTTTTTGGTCCATGAACGAGGCCTAGAGGTGGACAAAAACAAAGCAAGATCCGTAATTGAAGCGCGGCCACCACAAAATAAAAAGGAATTACAAAGGTTTCTTGGTCAGGTTAATTTCCTAAGGAGGTTTATCTCTAATTTGGCGGGCAAAACTCATGTTTTTTCACCTCTTTTGAAGTTGCAACTTGATGCAGATTTAAATGGGAGAGGCAGCACCAAGCCGCCTTTGATGCCATCAAGGAATACTTGTCCAAGCCACCTGTGTTGGTTCCTCCAGTTAAGAATAAACCCTTATTGCTGTATATATCTGCCGCAGATGAGTTAATTGGCTGTCTGCTGGCGCAAGAGAATAATAATAAACAAGAACAAGCTGTTTATTATTTGAGTAGAGCTTTGAATCCGACCGAAGTGAAATATTCTTCGGTTGAGAAATTGTATTTGGCTTTGTTCTTTGCAGTAATAAAATTGAGGCACTATTTATTGTATTTAGAGGCATTTGTTGTTTCAAAAACTAATGTCATAAAATACATGCTGTCGCAGCCACTCTTAAGAGGCCACATTGGTAAGTGGATTCTTGCACTTATTGAATTTAATCTGAGATATTTGCCTCAAAAGGCCGTCAAAGGACAAGCTTTAGTAGACTTCTTAGCAGATCATCCTTGTTTAGATGTTAACGCTGATGAAGACAAGGGAATCAATCTCTTTTCGATTGACTTGGTTCCTTGAGGCTTATTTTTGATGGGTCTAGCACTGATCAAGCCTCTGGGGCTGGGATTATTATTGTTTCTCCAGATAGCATAAAAACCCAATGGTGTTTTCAGTTGGATTTTGAATGCACCAATAACCAAGCAGAATATGAAGCTTTGGTAATTGGTCTTGAGTTGTTGGTAGAGTTGAAGGTGCCATCGGTTGAAATTATGGGTGATTCTCAATTAGTTCTCAAGCAATTGCGTGGCGAATACAAGTGTACAAGCGTGGTTTTGTCTCCATATTTTGCCACTGCCATCCAATTACTCGAGGAATTTGATGATGTCTCCCTAAAGAATATTCCTCGCAACATGAATATTGAAGCAAATGAACTTGCGCAGATTGCTTCAGGTGTAAAAATGCTTGAAGGCTTCTTGGAGAAAGTCATCGTCATCGAAAAACGTATGCTGCCTTCAATTCATCAAAGAGGAATAACGATGGAAGCATGCTCACTAGATGTCACACCTGCAGACTAGAGGCATCCAATAATAGAACATTTGAGGAATCCCAGTTCTAAAACATCAAGGAGAATGAGGATACAAGCTTTAAACTATGTGCTACTCAGGGATGTTTTGTATCGTAGGGGGCAGGATGAATTGTTATTGCGCTGCCTCGATCTTGATGAAAGTTACCATATGATGTCAAATGTTCATAATGGTATTTGCGGTGCTCATCAAGTAGGGATTAAGATGAGATGGCTAATTCGAAGGCATGGTTCCTTTTGGCCATCTATTCTTAAGGATTGCATCAATTATGCAAAGGGCTGCAAAGCTTGTTAACTACATGGTCCTTTGCAGGGAGCACCAGCTCCTGAGTTACATCCTATTGTCAAGCTATGGCCTTTTCATGGTTGGGCAATTGATTTGATTGGGAAAATTTATCCACCTTCTTCTAAAGGTCATTCTTTCATAATAGTTGCTACAAACTACTTTACTAAGTGGGTGGAGGCAAGGCCTATGAAGAAGGTTGAGCAAGGAGATGTCATCAAGTTCATAAAAGAGGATCTGATCCACAGGTTTGGTCTTCCAGAAACTATCACTTCTGATCAAGGTACTGCTTTTGTTGGATCTCAAGTAGAGGCCTTTGCAAAAGACATGGGATTTCATTTGCTTAATTCAACTCCATATTATGCACAAGCAAATGGTCAAGCAGAGGCATCTAATAGGATTATCATCAACATCTTGGAGAAAATGATTGATGATAATCCCAAGAGATGGCATGAGCTTCTTTCAGATACTCTCTAAGCATACAGAACCTCACAACGGAGTTCAACTAAGGTGACATCATTCTCGCTTACTTATGGTCATGATGTTGTCCTGCCTATGGAATTAACGGCAAGGTCTCTACGGATTGCAATTCAAAATGGCTTGAATTTTGGGGAATACAATAAGGCCATGATCATGGAGTTGGAAGACCTTGAGGAAGCAAGGCTGACAGCATTGGATGTGATGAAGGCCTAGAAGCTTAAAATGGCACAAGCTTACAACAAAAGAGTCAAGCAAAAGAATTTAGCCAAAGGAAGCTTGGTTTGGAAGGTTGTGCTGTCGCTTGGCAAGAAGGATCCCAGATATGGTAAGTGGTCCCCTAATTGGGAAGGACCATTCCAAATTCATAAAGTTCTTAAAGGGGGTGCTTATTGGTTAAAGTCTTTGAATGGGGAGTTGCATCCACACAAGATCAATGGCATCCACTTGAAACCATATTATCTGACTGTGTGGGAGGCATGGGATAGTTCTGCTTCCACGTCTGCATGATCCAGGTTTGCAGACATTTGTATATTATTCAAGTTGTTTTTTCTTTCAATAAGGACACGTAGAGTTTGGGCTTGAACCTTGGAAGCATACATAAGACTTGGTGCTACCAAGGAGGCATGGCATGTTCTTACATTTGTGTGTTAGAGCGGCTTTGTTTGTAAAGCCATGGGCAGCATGAATAAAGCAAGCAAATAAATTCATGTTCATCATTAGAAGAAGAAAAATAAAAGAAGTCTGGAAACAAATGTTCAAGTGGCTTAATGGCCGTGACAAGGATGAATGATACTAAAAAAAAAAAAAAAACCTAGCAAAGGTTCTGCGTCCAAATGGCCCACTCATGTTTCATTTGCTGCAGCGTATTGTTGGCTTCCTTTGCTTTCTCCTCCTGTTGTGCAGCCTCACTCTTTGCAGCCAAAGCTTCACGTCCTTCTTCCTTGAGCTCAACTAGTAATTTGCTTCTCTCGGCTTTAAGGGATTTGAGGTTGTCTTCTTCCTTTGTTGTTGCCTTTTTCAGCTTGGCGAGGCGAGCTTCTAGTTTGGCAATCTCATCTAGGTTGTCTTGATGCAGCTTCATTTGGGTGCTAATGCTATTTTTCACCTTTTCATAAATACTCTTTTTCTTCTCTACTGCATCTTTACATTGTCGAGCAAGATCTGCAGCCACGGTTGCTTCTGACACAACTTTCTTCTCATTCATAAACCGCTAGCTAAAGTTCTTGTAAACAGTAGGGAAATTGCTCCAAAACATACGCACTGATGCATCCAATGTGGGAGCCTTACTTAAGACCTCAACAGCATTGAATGCCTCATTTTGATCAACGACTTGGCAAAGTTCAGATGGATTACCATTCAATAGCTCAAGAAGAAGGAGGGTGGCAACATCGATGGATTCTTGAGAAGGGATATCCGGATTGTTCTCTTCTTCTTCCACGATCTTATCTTTTGAGCTAAGAGGGATGGACCTTTCTATTTCCAAGAAGTCATCCAAGAGGTCCAATTGAGCAAAAACCTCACTCTCAAGGACATCATCATCTATCTCAATCACGAGTGAAGCAACCTGCAATCCATATGGCAGCCACGTGAATTAAAAAAAAATTAATTAAGTGGCAGCAAGAAACATGAAGAAAGTACATGTATCTACCTGTGCAGGAGCAATAGGCCTTGGTGGTGAGGTGGTGACCGGCTGTAATTCTTCTCTTGTGAAGTCAGCTTGCTCATTTGACTCTACAGTTTGAAAAAATTGGCTTGTAACCCTAGGGGAAGACCGAATAGCTTTGGTCATTGAGCAAGGAGGATCGACCTTTGTGACCGCAATCTTAGTGGAACTATGAATAGATGCTGTTGCATAAAGTTGGATTAGTTTCATACAAGGAAAGAAGCAAAACAATGAAGGCCGAAAATTTACCTTTTGCAATTTTATTTGGTGCATCCTCTTTATCAGAAATTTGTGGAGAAGAAGTTCTCCTCTTTGCAAGTTGCGTCTTTGGTTTCTCATTTGAGAAATTCTTGACTTTGCCAGTGGGTGGAGGATTTTCGGCTTTGCTTTTATCTTCCTTTCTGTTATTTTCTGGGGGAGCAAATTGGTCCAAGGAATTCATTACAACACAAAAGCGTGATGTGAAGTGTGACGTCCACCAGTCTTTATAAGCTTTAGTGCAGTCGGGATGGCTAAGTGGAGGTAGCTGAAAGTCGATTGAGTTGAGGAAAGTGCTGGTAAGTTGAACTTGCTCTTGTATTGATTCGATGTCAGGAAAGAGGAACCTCAAAGGGAAGCAAACATTTCCGGTAAACTGAGGTAGAGCAAGGATGTCCTGGCAATATCCAAGTTGCCGATAGAATTGATTAGGAGCGTATAGCTCTGAGCTGCACCTTGATTGTGGCCCCCCAATGCTGTAGCCTATGAATAAATCTCTTGGAGAGATGTAAGCTTTCCAACAAGCTTTGAATTCCTCACTGTTCCTATTTGCTTTATACCATTCTGGGCCATACTTCCTTTCAAGAAATACTGCAAATTTTGCATTTGGCCGGTCAATTGAGAGGGATGCAAAATAGTTAAAATATGTCTTAAAACTTTGCGGTAGCGTTTTTGCATCTTGGATGCACATGCTGTAAGTTAGCAAATCTTCTTCATCAACTTTCTCAAATTCAGGGGCGACAGTTGGGAAATAAGAATAAAGCCACAATTGTAGGACCCAAAGAGCACCACTGAATTTCCCAAATGGAAAGATGGTGATATCATAGCATCCACGGTATATATAGCCGAGCATAAATTGAGCAAGAGCAAATTTTTTACCATGTGCCAAACTGACAGCAAGAGGAATGAACTCTTTGGCAACACACCTCTCAATAAGGCAGACCATAAACTTGCAGATCAAACATAATAAAAAGGAAATATGTTCTCTTCAGTATAATAAAAAGGAAATATGTTCTCTTCGGTTCGGATTCTTACTCTTGGTGGCAAGAATTGAGTTCCTTTGGAAACTCAGGAAAGTTGTTCTGGTGTCACCGGGGTCATATTCTTCTACAAGAACAGTTGGCAGCAAGGGAGAAACCTCTTCTCCGATGCAAGGAAGACCGGTTAAAGAACAAATGTCAAATAGAGAGATGGACATAGCACCACAAGGAAAGTGAAAGCAATTATAAGAGCATGACCAAAAAAACATAGCTGCTGTCAGAATGGCTTTGTTTATCGGCACTTGAGTTGTGGTCATATGAATAAATTCAAAAATTCCAGTTGCTTTCCATATGTCTGCAAAGTGAGGTTCCAACCTTTTTACCCATGCCAGCCATTCACCTTTAGTTACTATTGGCCATGCAACGATGCGTGTTGACCACTCACTCCAATTTGGTTTGGCTTGCAAGGGTAATAAATGCTTGCTCAGCTGAGGGTAGTGGAGGCGTAGGAGTGCAGCGGCTGTTTCCTTCAAAACTGGACCCAAATAGATGGAATCATTGAAAACGATGTGGATCTGGTTGTTGCGGTAAGAAGGTTCTTCATTAATAATTTTGGCAATTTGTTTCTGAATATTGCTGAATTGATGTCGAAAGGGCTGATTTGATTTGAGGCTTCCTCCTTGTTGCAATTCACAGGCAAGAAATTGGTTGGCCATGGCTGGAATGCTTTGATAGGGACGATGCCAAGAACCAGAAAAAAAAAAAATTAAAAAGAAAAAGAGAGAAGCTGCTGAAAATTCACGATGATGATCATGTTTATAATGAGTAGGAGTCGGCAAGGTTTCCGAGTCCTAATTGTTGAAGAACTGCAGTGGCGTCGCGTAATTGGAGTCGGTCCGTTTCCAATTCCAAAACGGAGAAGAAACGTAAATTGCAAAAAGTGAAAAAGGTGAAAAGGAAGGAATCCCTTGAGGAAATTTGGAGTTTACAAAAGAGGACAAAGGCATGAAGAAGTTGAGTACTGTCACTAAGGTCCTAAATTTTTGACACCTACTCCCGTAAGACCAAAAATTGGGGGGCAATGTTTACACCTAATTTTACAAGAAATGGAGTGCTGCCACATGTCACCCATGATGGCAGATATTTTATTAGTTGAAAGTTGGTGTGAATTTTTTCAGATGAGATTGAGTGGTTATTTCCACAACGGCAGCAAAACCGTTCTTTTGTTGCGAGCTTCCAGGAGGATAATCGCAGCACCAACAAATTAATCAATTTGTTGCAGATATTATGCTGCTGTTGGTCTTTTAGGATGCTGCCGTAGATCTCCACCATGCTGCCAAGCTGCTATAAGTACCTAATGATAAGATCAAGCAAAGGATCAACATCTCACACAACAAACTCAGCACAATTTCTCTTTACACTCAGATTCATCTTAGTTTCAAGCCCTTTAATTTAATTTTAGCTCTACGCTTCAACCTAGATTAGTTTAGCAATTTGGTTCTTCTTTTGTCGAATTTGTAATGGTGAGTTTCGCTGCCTTCAGTAATATTTCTTTATAATCGTATTGCTTCCTTTCCTTTATTTTCCAGATTTCCTTTAATTTAATCAAACGATGTTGACATTTAATTTCATGTTCAGTTCCATTTTTGTTAATTTACATTTCATGCTGCCAGTAGATTTTTCATGCTTCGGGTTTTATTTACTTAACTTAATTTACTTTTGCTGCAATTAAATTTCCTTTTAAAGCTCTGTTTCAATTCAGTTTGCGTATTTAAAGTTCATTTAGATTTTCAGTAGTTTAGCAATCATTTATTTACCTTGCAGTCTTAACTTTTCTTGATTACATT